CAACATGTGATTAAGTTAGTACGTTAGCGGTGGTGCAAACGGCGCTTTCCTAAAAATATTAGAAACAGTCAAGGCTGATATTATAACGGCTGTACGACCCCGTGTGGGGTACGACCCCGTGTGGGGAGCGTAAGAGGACGATCAGAGATGTGTAATGTCTTAAAAGATTCAGGCAATATTCTCTGAGTTTAGCCACTGAAGTTCGGCGCGTCGTCAGTCAGTTACGTTGTCTGTTCCGAGCACGTGATACGATTCACTTATAGGCGACGATTTCTGCGCCTTGGTAACACAGTTTTAGACACTTGGCTTTCACCGGGCCAGTGATTCTAGCAATGTATAGTTGTATAATCCAGATAATGAATATACGGATATGTATTAAGATACGTTCTATCCTGATCAGCTGCCTCTTCAGATTATATGATAATGACCGCGGACAAACTAAGGCAGCCATCAACTTTAAATAGGACAAGGTGATATTTTTTGAGTACCAGCCATTTGTATAAACCATTTGTAAACTGGAAGGTTAGCATACGCAAGCTCAGAAGTGTCACAAGTGGTTGCGCGGGGTGTACATAATGGTCATCTCGTGAGTTTTTGAGTCGAGGCACCAGAACGTCCAATTATCAATACGATCATCTCTTTACAATCCGCATGATCAGCGGTTCTGGATGAGCTACATGCCACGCAGCATAACACAATTAACTGAATCGAGCGCCGACGTCACAAACCGAAGGACAAAGCACTTTGTGATGCGCTTTGGATTCGCAACCTTATCAGCGAGAGATGACAATTCCACGAACTGACTGTTTACGGAAAACCGTAGGATTCCGAGTTTCTTGAGGAACGTACCTCTAAAAATCCTAGCATTGTCTAAGCATGACATCACAATTAAGTAGATGATCGACGATTCAGATTTCCCAATCTGAATTGCGAGAAGATGTTGTTGATAAACCTGAATTTGAGCCGGGAAAAGGGGGATGAGATGAACGATGATTTTTTTGGAGTCGCGGCCAAGGAGTGGAACGCAGTTGCTCTTTAGAATCAGTACGTCCTTAGCGGTATCCCTGTTTCAAAGATTTTTGTACAACCCTTCATTATGTTTGACCTGCCATATTCACTAAACAGTTTTACGTTCTAGTCAAAAATCTTTAGCACTGCGGGTTTATCCCATTAGCGAATAAGTATAACGGGCAGTTATCGTCCGCTCTGTTTAAGTATGTATGACTACCTCATGCGTATGAGACGATATGAGGTCGCTATTCGCTCAAGCTAACCGAAAAACAACTTCGTTATGATCAGGGATGTGTGCTTCATCCCGAATCGATTTTTACTAGCGTATACGATCTCAATTTGAACAAACTAAAAAATACAATTATTTGAGTTCTGTGGCTTGAAAAGAAATAACAATTTCTTAGGTTTCGGAACTTTTTTTGACCCACTTTTATCTTAGAGTAAATAGCCACTATTGCTATTTTCGCATATACCCATGATGAACGTTAAATACTATTAGAGACTTATGCTATAATATAAATACTACTAACAGTTTCACCGGAGTTAATGTCGCATCCTGCTATAGGTGGTGATTTGGTTTCAAAATCGGTGCATGAAATGGAAACGAAATAAAGTACCGTGAAAGGCCAATTGAAATTTTTGCCACAGGGAACTGCGGCTACGCCAGTAACAATAGTACTAGAGGGCCTCGATACAGCAGGCTGCACTGCACCCCCTACCTACAGATCAACGAAGGGCTTACCGAAAACCTACTATCATCGACGGGTAGCCTTCCACCCATTACGACAAATTTTGTTGCTAGTAAGTGTTTTAGACATATGTCATAAACAATTATATTACTAGTATTATCTATTGTATAGTAATATAAGACACGACGAATATTGACATGACATGTACATATTTACACCACACATGCACCCATATATATATGTATGTATGTATGGACGCCTGGTAAAGCTGTGCAGTACGCATTGCACTACCCTGGACTATAGGTTCAAGTGTGAACTTCAAATCATCGGATCCTCATAAGAAGAAGATAAAATCGCATGGAGATCTATAACTTATTTTTATTTTATCATTAGTAAATAAAAACACAGTTCGTTTAGTACTTATTTGTGTATATATTTACTCGAATAAATATTTACATATTTAGTTTTCATTTAGTCCTGCTTTAGTCGTCCTTATATTTCGTGTTGTGAAAGAGTGAGCGTCCCTTATGGGTGAATGTTACAGCTATGCCTTACGAATTCGCGAAGCTCATAAAAGACCTCTTTTTTTATCTGGTCCGGAATTGTACTTCGCGCTTTGGGCATCAGATGGGCATGAAGCTCATCTATCGTAACATTTGTTAGGCCTACAAGCAGAAAAGATATGAAAACACATTAGACAATACATAGCGGTTAAATCATCGCAGGTCAGAATAAACCACTCAGCAATGATTCTATAAATTAATAAAATAAGCCTGATTAAGCGATATTTTTCTACAGGTTGCAAACTAAGGCTGCGTCACCACGCTACGCTTAAGCAGTCTCGGACCTCACAACCAAAAACTACTTACCTCGGTCTCTAATCAATTTCCTTGCCTCGGCCTTCAACTCATCTCTCCATCCACACGAGGCAAGTTTCGTTTTCAAACTTTCTTTAAGCAGTTCTTCTTGTCCACTTTCGACCAGACGGGCCTTCACACGCTCGCATAATTCTGTAGTCATTCTTTTCTTTCGAATGAGCTGCGATACGTGAATGCGTTCTGTCCTCTAGTCTGGACAAGCTCTGAATAAGAGACAAAACACGAAACCATTAGCCCATTGTGGGCCGACGTCACAAACCGAAGGACAAAGCACTTTGTGATGCGCTTTGGATTCGCAACCCTATCAGCGAGAGATGACAATTCCACGAACTGACTGTTTACGGAAAACCGTAGGATTCCGAGTTTCTTGAGGAACGTACCTCTAACAATCCTAGCATTGTCTAAGCATGACATCACAATTACGTAGATGATCGGCGATTCAAATTTCCCAATCTGAATTGCGAGAAGATGTTGTCGATAAACCTGAATTTGAGCCGGGAAAAGGAGGATGAGATGAACGATGATTTTTTTTGGAGTGGAACCCAGTTGCTTAGAATTGGTGCGTTCCGGGCGATATCCCTCTTCGTGGAAGATCGTTCTGCCACCAAAAGAGCAGTTATCATAATAACTGTTCTTCATGAAGTTGCCTTGACGTATCGAATTCGCTAGCGGAGAGCATGGACTATCCGCACTGCTCTCAGTAGCATATCACGTGCTGCTGGCTTGCGGAGCAGAGCACTGCTACCAATAATGCTGTTTGGTCGCTAACCTGTGCTGCCCCAGTGATGGTGCTGAACGGAGCATTGATAGTTATGTATCTTAGGGCTAGGGAGTGGCGATTATCGCTCCCAGTGATGTGTGTAACTCTTAAGGTAAGCAAGGTAGGCATCCATTCGATTGTAGGTGTCTAGCCTAGGTGGTGGCTTAGGTCTGCGCTATCAGCGCCGTTTCGACGATCTTAGAACGCCGCCAGCTCGAGCCTTTGGTTGTTATCTCTGTATTGCAATGGTAAATTCTCAATTCTCAAGGATTCGGACTGCTGTTTGACTACTCCATTTAGCTTGGCATCGCAAAAACTTGGGAACAGAAGAAGGCGTCTGGTCGAATTTATTATCTCGACATTAATTTATCAGCAAATTGAATCGAACTGTTATTGCACAATTCATGTCGAGACTCTTAATCAGGTCTCGAGGTGGTACGCGTAGAAACAGCACCGCTATCAATTTATTTGCAGCTCTGTGACTTATTGTTATTATTATTTGATTTCTCTATAGGCGAAACTGTAACGGATCGCTTTTATAAACAAAAGCCGAAATACCAAGTGTCCGGCGACTGTTCATAGTATTGTATGTTGAGGATTACGAGACAAGAGTCGTTTGTAGTAATGCTGATGCTTTCACTACTGCTGGCCAACGCTATAGATAAATTGGAAGGCGTCTTTAAAGGCGCTGCTCAGGCAAGATTTATCTTGTTATCAATTGTTCAAATAGGCAAAACAGGCGGGTCTAAATGGGTCATCACCGTGCTTTCAGAGTGTTATTTTACTTCCCTAAAGACTATTGCAGTTATGTTGGGACTAAGTCCTTTTAAAATATCACTCCAATATTGTCCACTTGGATTGAATGAATGGGGCAAAAATATTCGCAAAATGTGTGCCATATGACTTGAGCTGGGATCGAAAACAGGGACACTTCTCCTTGATCTCATGTCATAGAGCAGTGATCCACTTTTGCATCGAATTATGACTTACGATAGAATAAATGAATTTTTTGCTATAACGGCAGACAGAAATCGGTAGATGGGCGCTTCAGTTCGAAATAAATAGGAATAATTCATATTCAGTTTCAGTGGTTCTTCGGGCAAATTCACAGAAATCTGAATACATTTTGTTTTTATTATATTATAAATATAAACGTCTTTTGACAATTCTTGATTGGGGCGCTATTTCAGAGCAACAGTCTTCGATTCTATATAAAAATTCTTCGCGTTTTACATGTAGAATTATCTGATTCGAGGCATCTCTCTCAAAGGTTTGTTAAAAGCAGTAGCAGGTTCCCTCAGATGTTTTTAAGCTATATAAGCAGTTTACAATAACCGTACGACGGATGCGGATATAGTAAGACATTAGCATGTATAACGGATATGGCCAGTTTAGGAACCTTAACTAACAGCTAACGATCATCTTGCGTCTGCAATACCCTATAAATACAGCATATGGGACGAGTATTTTGGGCCTGACTGTTGGTCTTCTTTACGCGACTGCGATATTTTTACTGATTGCTATTTATTTTCAAAGGATTTTTTTTGAATCGTGAAGGTGGGAGAATCGATCCTTTTCAAGGCAGTTGTGCGATAAAGGGTATGGATAAGAGGTAATGACATACGCTTCCATGAGTTCCCGCATGTTCTTGACGTGGCTATATTAAGATGAAAGAACTCATCCAAAAGCTGCTTAATCAATGATACGGGAGAAAATGTACATAAGCGTCCATACTGCATCGATGGCTAGATTTGAATGTACGTTCTTCGTATTATGTGGAACCAAGGAAAAATAATTTTGCACATTTTTCAAAGTCACGCCTGGGGGAGAGGTGAGGACCACCTTCACAATACCTGTTGTATGTTACATGTTTTTGTCAAATATGGCCACGGATTTGTGCTCGAGCAGATCGGACAAATACAATCAAAACACATGTTCCATATAATATTCGACTAATTTTCCTCGATTATTAGGATGTATACGCATTGAAAATAAAAACTTGTTCGATTTATAAGTCATGTGTTCTACTCTAGCGAACCGAATAAACATACTTTTACAGATTCTCCTTTGTGAACTTCTGCACGCCTCCACGCTGTCGTACTCAACGCTGCCGCTGCTTCTCAAGCCGGGATATGAAAGAATCACTTCTGCTGCTACTCTGTGCATCGATGATTGACCTACTGAACTCTAAAAAAGAGAAAATAGAACTTTGTCTGCTCTTGGCCACTAGCTGAAGATTTTATTATGGATAAAGAACATTGTCGATTCAGATAACACGCGTTGCAGAAGTCAAATTACGCTATTTCTTCTTGAAGGAGCAGCTCTGAAAAAGCCTTAGGACATGAACTACTCAATTTGCAAAACTGTTTCACCTCATTCATCCTTAATATTATCATTTAAGGTTTCGCAAGAAAAGGAACTTAACACTAAGACGTACGCATTTCATTATTGCGAAATTACATCGACGTTTGTCAAGACAGTCCAGACAAAAGATAACTGGGCAGCGATGCTTAGTGCATTTATTACTATACCATTTTCATTATACAATAATTTTTGTTGGATAATGTACGATTTTCAACACAAATGCTATAAAGACCCACAAAACCGTGAAATTTCATGTTTACAGCATATGCGATAGTAGCATAGGTCGGTATATTCTCTCGGTAACAGGAACATAATTCATTTTATGACATATGTGAGCATTACATCCATTGTTAACCTACGTCGAATTCTTAAATACTAGAATGAAAATCGCACAGGCCGCATCGGAAGTAGTAGATGATCTCATTTTTTTCTCTAATTAAATTAAAAATTTAATGTAAATTGACATTCTTTTTTTTTTCTCTAATTAAATTAAAAATTTAATGTAAATTGACATTCTTTGGAATGTCACGACCCATGACCATGACCATGAATTTTCGCTAAAATTATTGATGAGTAAAGTGTGTCGTTTTGTGTCGATTAATTAATATGTCATTATGACATACTGATTTTTTTTATATTAAGCATGTTTGTTAATTTGTTTCAAAATTGCCGGTACTAGATAAATTAGAGCGTCATCAGGTTGCCAGATAGAGACTTCGTTAGATGACCCTGATCATGTAAAAAGGGCTACTGCCCACGCTTACTCGATGTACAATGGGAAATGAAAAGCCGGGTGAAGTGCAGTATGTGATCGATTTCAAACACAGAAACTTCCACTAATAACAACAACAGAAGTAAATAGGATTCGTCGAGAATGCCACTTCCCCGCCCTTGCCTATGGCAAATTAACTCTTACCAAGATGTTTGCCTTAGTTCTTTCTCAGTCGTCGAAGAAACAATGGGATAAATGAAGTGTAAGAGTACTTTCGATACTTGGAACCAGCGATGAGACGTAATTTTCTCACCCTATTATTTCCCATTAATACATTTTGGTGATAAAGACGAGAAAGGTACATTTTTGGACGCGTAATTATATATACTACTAGTCGATACGCATTGTGTCGAAATATACCCACCTATCATAGAGATATAGTAAGATAAAAACTATCCTAATCGGTATGAAGTATTCGCTCACTAAGCAAAATGTTACTTTTTACATTCACTTGATATCATGTCGTTATTTTATTGAATTAACGCGCAGGCCAGTTGACGATTTAAAACAATTTAGGTTCTGATGGTCCAAGGTCACAAATTTACTATGGGTGATATCTTCAAAAGGTCAAACTTCATATGAAGTAAATTATCCTCAAGCATAGAACAACACGTGTTCATTGAACAGGAGTGTCAAAATAGTATGTGAATATGAGAGGTCAAAAGAGCCGGCCGGCAAAATCAAATCTTCGAACTTGGATTTTACGTAGAATTCCAAATTCTAACTTAAAGAACCGAATGGACACGTTTTTCCTATTTGTTGCCACAAACTTTTACACGAGCTAACCATCAGTGATAGGCGTATTCAAAAGTATGATTGTAATATGTCTGTAAGATTCCTTCTGGCTGATGGTTCAGCGATAAGAACTCAGCCTTTGATTTCTAGTAACCTGTCGTCGAGTCGTGCCAAATTCGGGGGTCGATTCGGTGGTTCGTGGAGATGAAAATCTTCAGTTTCTCCGGATATATTCCGCCATACACGTAATCCAATGATTTTTCTTCGTTACACGATCGCACTATCAGGCTACTAAGACTTTCACTGAGTTCTTTTTCTTTATTTAAACAACATAGCAATAGATATTTTTTAGGCCGAAAATGTGCATAGAATAACGGCACGTACAGATAGCTAATTAAAACAAATGTACTTTGTTTTCTTTTTCGGTTAGCCAAATGGATTCAGACATCAGCACAACATAAACAAATGCTCTTGAGACTAATTACAGAATCAACTGTAACATGTCCCAACCGATTTTGTGCATTACTATCTA